TCATTATCTTTGCAGGAATGATTGATAAAAAGAAAATGTTGTTGCCAGAGTAGGAAGATAAAGATCAACCCTGTTTTGCCACAGCAACAAAGATGAGGCGACAAGTTATTGTCATTGAAAGCCTGTTCCTGACATGAGGAATTGGAACAAAGAATTTAACTAATTGCCAGGGAATTAGACATTCTTATGCGGGCCAGATCACCTCGTTGCTTTGCAAATATGTAAATTCTTTGTTCCTGTTCCCGCATGTCAGAATGAGCCTTCAATGACATTAAATTGTTGCCTCGTCATTTTTGCTGTGGCTAACCCTCATCTTCCTACTCCAGCAACAACATTTTACTTTTATCACTCATTTCTGAAGCAAGAAAATTATAATTTTATCTAACTGCTCATTTTTTCTGCAAGTGTGGAATAAATGATTTAACATAGTTATCTACTGTTTACCACCTCTTTACCTGGCGACGAAAGCTGTTTGCCCCTTGTGGGAGCTCGACACCAAGATAGTCCAATTATAGTGGTTGATGGCAGTGAGTACCGATGAAATCTGGCCTCGAGTCATGCCTAATGGGGCTCATCTGAACAGACAAACACCCCAAACTGAAGGACCCTATGGCCTGTGTAAAAGAGTGGAAATATTACATCTTTGGTCCATTTCCAGTCGGCAGGAGTGCGTAGATTCGTTTCGGAGCGGCCTAAAAAATGGATGTGCGGTGAACTGATTCGACATTCCGGGGTATGGTACCAAGGAAATAGGGGAAACGAAGAGGACGAAAGGACTGCGCTTTTAATGAACCCCTTCTGAAATCACGGAACGGCAAGAGAGTGCAATAAGCCTAATTGATTTTCAGACTGACCCAATGCTCGCATTGCTCCAGAATCAAACGCTACCCTCATCTCTGGGATGAATATTGCATGTGGTGCTTGCAAGAGGTCAATACGGAGGGAGGAATGGCGTGCTTAAGCCGGACCAACGTACCAGGGACCTGTTTAATTTCTATAATGCACTCAAAAAACGACGGATGTTGCAAATTGATGACTAACCTCACATTTCTTTTGCAGAACAGCAGATATGAGACTAGTATGCCAGTCAAAGTATGACCGTTGTTCGTGTGCTTCGTGAAACCTTAATGGAGCCCACGAATAATGCAAGACCATGAGTCCCAAGTACGGACGTACACTCCAGTAGGCAACTCATTGCGGAAGTCGTCTCAAAGATTGCTCAAAGAGATGCTTAGTGTCCCTTTAATCGCAGGTAAGGTCGATTGGACTCCCAGAAGCAAGTTTGACACCAACGCCCTTTGTTTCACTGGACTCTCCGAGGCAGTGGAAACGAAACCACAGAAACAATTTGCAAACAGTATGGAGACGTTGAAGATGCACCTGACTGTGACGCATACGCAAACAAATTGGCGCAAACAAAGCATATTGAACGTGCAGTAGTGTGGCAGATGGCGCATACGTTAGGTTAAATTTTCAGCCAACATGCTCCACATATCATTATTATCATTTCTTTGGTATGTGTTTGGTTACTGGTACTAATCTGCCATATGTGTGCGCTGCACTCGGTACATATTTTCTGATCCTTTTCTTACCAGATAAAACCGTTGACTCGGCGCTTCAACGCCACCCCTACGTTAGCTGAGAGTCACGGTGTCGCTCAATAGTCAAGACTTCAAGTCAGGATATAATCGAGGTCTAACCAATCTCTGTTGGTATGTCGGTCAGTACACGCGCTGTCAGTGATGTCGAGCTTTCCATCATTACTTGATTAACACTGCGCGAAAGCCGGGTTCAATTCCCGGACAGAGAGTCAAAGACTTCTTCACTCGTTTTTGTCGCTTATAATATCAGATTGGATAACCAGCAGATCCGAAATTTGGGAGGTCGTGGTTTGCGCTTCTAATTTTTGGAAGATCAAGTTGGATAGCATATATTTTTGCTCTCCATTCGTTGGATCGTTACTGTGATACAGTGCCCTACCTGGTGCATCTTGATTCTCTTAAAGAATTGTGGATGACTTGATACATTTGAAAAAAATTCACAGAGGCTGGGGTTCAGTTCATTCCTATCGTGCTTCGTAAGCAAAAAGAAGGACGAGAATCGACCACTATGCACAATCCAATCCGTGTCGGATCTCTTCAAATGACAACTCTAATCACTCTTTGTTAGTATATCGGTTAGTACACGCGCCTGTCATATAGTGGTATAAGTGTTGATGTCCGCGCGAAAGCTGGGTTCGACTCCCAGACAGAGAGATAGCTGATCATCAATCAATATACATATTTTCAAAAAAAAGAAGATACACATGACGTTCGCCTTTTTTGAACAGAACGTAAATGAATCGTATTATAACGCACACCTTCACAATGTATAAAGCAACATCCCCCAACTTCTCAAATTGTACTAACCCTCGTTGAAAAACACAATCAAAAAGTCAAGGACACAAGCCGTACCGTAGTAAAATTATCCCCACAACCAACCCCAATTCCACCACCACTTCCAGCTCAAAATCAAAATGCTCAGCATCACATTCTCATCCTTCCGTCCCTCACTCCATACATTATACAAATGCCC